GAGACTCATGTAGATACTATGGATGTAGATGGTCTAAGCTTTCAACCATTAGACCTATGAATCTAAATCTATATTGGCATATTTCTTCTTCGATTCTTTAAAAAATCTAAATCTTGTCGGATGGATATTTTGGCAAATTTTGGATTTTTTTTTTCTCAATTGGGTTTTTGTCAAAAGTATCAAACTTTTAACATGTTCGTTTCGACAAATTTTCATGGGATTTATTTGAGCTAATGAAAATGATTTGGGTTTCAGGAAATGTTGCGATGAAGGAGTGTCAAGTTGCAGATAAATGATGAAGGAATTGTAGAGCTCTCACTTTGGTTTCTAGAAATTGTAGATTGAATGTATCTGAATGTTCTATGGACAAAGATGGTTCCAACAACTCTTCTCGGCTCACGTGTTTTGTTTTTCTTGTAAGCTTTTTGTTTTATTATCAAAAATGTTATTTGTTTAGTTCTCGAATCAAAATTTTGTGGGAGCACCTTTATTTTTCCGATGCAAGTGAAAATTTGTCTGTACAAAAAAAGGAAAAAAAAGAGTAAATAGTTTATCACTTTAAAATATTTTATGGTTTACATGCAATTATCTCACGACTTATGTTCTTATCAACCAATTAAACTTCTCTCCCATTTAGATGATTTACTGTATTTAGCAAAGGCGTTTCGAATGATTCAATCCCGATGATAAATTTATACGAAATGAAGTTGTAGAAAACTCTTCTTCAGAACGCTTGATTAACTTTTTGACTCGCATATATGTTCTTTCTCATGTTAACGCGTCGGAGATATATGATGCAAATCAAACACGTAATGAAACATATAGCATTATGCATTAGTCGCAAATTAGAAGCAAATATGGCACTTACAATTAAATTTTTTTTTTGAAATATGAAATATAGTTTAAGAAAGTAAACATTAGTAACTACCCTTCTTCATCTTCGACATCCGCATTACAGAATTTACTGGGATGAAAAATGAGGCGGCTCTTTCAATTTGCATGACAACGTCTTACTAAAAT